CATGTACTTGGTGCTGCCATGTTCATGGTGGATATTGCCGGTGTTCGCATTCTTTACACCGGTGACTACTCCCGTGAAGAAGACCGACACCTGAAAGCTGCTGAGATCCCCCAGTTCTCCCCTGATATTTGCATTATTGAGTCAACTTATGGCGTGCAGCAACACCAACCCCGCCATGTCAGAGAAAAGCGCTTCACTGATGCCATCCACAACATTGTTTCTCAAGGGGGGCGTGTTCTTATCCCGGCATATGCTCTTGGTAGAGCACATGAATTGTTGCTTATCCTGGATGAGTATTGGTCTACACACCCAGAGCTCCATAAGATTCCATATTAGAAAAGGTACGCCGATCTGCAACGCCAGAAGCCCCGGTACGCCGATCCGTGGTGGTTCCTCCTCTACTTCTTCCATTTGTTGCTTCCCTAACCTGATCTCATCCTCGCTGTTCTATCGAGGCGCCGTGGCACGGCCACACATGGAGGGCCAGGGCGAAGACAAGGCCACGGTGATGCAGCATGTGGTCCACATCGCCGGCAAGAAGAACCACCACGAGGTCGGGTCACGGTGGTGCAGCCTGTGGTCTTCATCGTCTACCACTCCGCCGTCTTCGGCAACCCCCACCACTTCCGCGTCAAGGTGAGACAAATGGCCCCTCCCCCCTGCCTAGTACCCGCGAATGGACTACGGTCCGTGTTTTGCTGTAATTTGTGGCTAGCTATGTGAGCGTGTACTGCTACTATTAGTATTAGGAGAAGAGAGAGGGAGAGGTAGAGGGAGATATACAAATGTATGTGCTAGCTATTGTGAGCGTGTACTGCTACTATTAGCTTTATGAGAAGAGAGAGGGAGAGGTCGAGTCATGTGCAAACAACATCAAAAGTAGGTTACAATGGCCTCAAACGAGGTGCTTATTCTTTCAGCTAGTACTTTTTCAAGATGCCGCACAGTATGTAACATTTTTGACTCCCAACTTGGTGGTAGTGGACATAATAAATTATGTAGATTACTTTTTCTGGTCTATTATAATATATGTGAGCAGACAACAGTGTTGAAATAAAGTAGAGAAGAACTGGCAATATGCTCTCAATAAGATGGTGCTGGAATTCAGCGCAGTATATTAATGAACATTTGATTATTTGATCAATGTATATATCTTGCTGGCTCCGGCTTGATTGATTCGGTGGGTCTGTCAGGTGGTTGTTGATGCCGGCACTGGGAGCGGCATCCTCGTTGTCTGGAGTGCTCAGGCCAGTGCCAGGACGATAGTGAGGTTTTCTTTACATGCTATTTGTAGGAGTAGAATACATGTTCTTTATAATGCGGTCTTGCCTTCATATGCAATGGCTATAATTTTAATCTGCATGTTTGTTTATTTTGTTGGTATAAAACTGTAGCGGTGCTTCACCTCTTCTCTGGATATATTAAATATATTAAATGTTCTATGCTAAGTAAAATACCATCGTGTTACAATCCACTCTGTGCTATTTATAATATTAGACATTAGTGTTATTTTTTTGAACCTTGAATAGTAGGAGAACCTCCTACTGTTTTAAACTTATATTAGAAAAACTTTGTACAATTTACATGATATCTTTACATGTATCTACCCGCCACTTTTGGGGGTGGAGAGAGAACTAAGCTATGGAGGCAAGTATGAGAGGGATAAGATGTTTGTGTTTTTCATTGACCCTATAGGTAAGGAGAGAGAAATCCTTCTTAATTCTGCTAGCCAAGATGTTTTTGTTAGGGTAAAATTAGGAAGCACTGCCATTAATAAATTTGGCTTTATGAATACTTTTAGACTATTCCATCGAAGCATTATGTCTCATGCAAATTCTATTACATGTAATGATTTAATATTATGACTCTGATGATATTTATCTTCAGAAGATGATTAAATTTGTTTGTTTTCTGGCATGTTGAAACACTTAAGAAGTTAATTGTTTGTTTTTCTGGCTCAAACCATGGTCATAACTTAAACAGTTAGGTGTATGCCACACTTGCGATGTCCAGAATAGACTGTTAGCCTATAATATCTGAAATAACTGTTTGTATTCAGTTGCATCCCATCTAATATGACTGCTTGATTAGATCTAAAATCAATTGTATTGGCTATGATATTTTTCTAACCTCGCACTATCTCCAATGGTGTTCTCTTTTTGGATTTTGATGGTATGCCTGACCAAAGCATGATCCTAATCTAGTAACTGTTGCCCTTTTACATAATACAAATATCCAGAAATTTTCACATACCTAGAGGACCTCGCCTTCTTGGAGCTCCTTGCTTACATAAGGTACTCCTAGGGAATTGGTGCTCCAAGTATGGGTATTATGATCCGTTGCTATCTGTGATGGGCGAAGGGAGAGTAAGGAGGGGGGGTGAGGGATGGCAGAGGAGGTTAACATATATAGGTAGGCCATGCAGGGGAAGGCTGAGTAGCTGATATATTTCTAGTTTTACCATATATACTTACGTATGTTGTAGATATCTTTCCTTTTTGCATCAAACACACCTCATAATAAATTAGAAAAGATGTCAGAAATCAGAACTTACTAAAAAATTAAATTGTTGTTAATTAAATAAAGAACTTATCATGGCAGATAATTTACTGATTGCATGCCATATAAAAACAAAATATCTTTTTGTCTATTTAAATATTGATTCTATTTTTATTATTGTTCAGTTTGAATAGGTAAACACGACTTTTCATACATTAAATCAAGTTAAATAAACATTAAAATAATCTAAAATGTTTAGTTTCTGATAGATGGCAATTAACAACCTTCTTTTTTTGTTGTATGCACAATCAAAACACAGGTGCATCTAATGCATCATCGACCTGTTACAACGTCAACATCGTCTGGGTACGAGCGGCCGTAGGTCACAAGGGGCGCGTGGAACTGTTGCAGACCATTTGTGACAGAGCATAATCCAGCGACTTTGCCCAGGTCGGTACATCCTCTACACGACTATATGGTATCAACTTGAAGAAAATTATTCCTTTTTTTGCTTCCAAGACCCGATATCCTCCTCGATGATGTATCGAGGTGCCGTGACCGGGCCTCAAAGGCAGGGCCTGGGCGAAGAGGTATCCCCGACGGCCAAGACAAGGCCACGGTGGTGAAGACCGTGGTGAGACAGAGCTGACTCCAGCAAATTTGACCAGCCAGGTACATCCTCTACATGACTAAACGGTATCAACTTAGTATAGTAGCTTAGTAGTAGTATTGTGAGTGGTATTGTTTTTGTCGAACAATCACTGAACCGGATATGCAGGCCTGGGATAATATATGTGTGGGTCTCGATATTGTTAGTGGTCTTGTATATGTTAAGCTTGATGATAAATGCACAAATTGTGTAAGACAAACAGATTGTTTGCTTTGTTAAAATCTCATTGACGTGCAAAGCAAGATGCATCGTTGTATTGGTTTGCTAGGATCCAATTAGCCAACCCAAATCCCATATATAAAACATTAGCAGGATAGTCTGTTTAGTAATAAGAGCCATAGAGTTCATTGTTTTCCAAATAATTTATAACAAACACTATGAATTTAATTAAATGAGAACTAAAACCTAAATTGCTTGATGATTTCCTCATTTGAAATATTACAATTGCTAAGCTCAATTATGGCATAATCACATTTTTTAAAAATAACAATGGCGTCAATCAAATTTATAATTTCAAATGTATCTGGCTGTTGAATATCAGTCTCTTTTTTTAATCAAAATTCTTATACTTTGGTGTCGTGGTGGCTATTTGATTTCCCTGTACAAATGTCTGTTTTCAGTGCAAATGTGTCCCTTGATCAACCAAACTGGGTGAATGTAAAATCATGGGGAGCCTTGAAGCCTTCTAATGTAAGAGTATGCTCAACTCAATTTTCATAAGTGAGTCCATTACATCATTCTAATAGGGTCAAGTTAAACTATAATCTGCAGGCAAATAATGCAGGAAATGATCGTTGGAATTCAGTAACACTTGAACCTGAGGTACATAGGTTCCATCACTCTATAAATATGTAAAAACATAAAGAACGTGTTTGTACAAGTGTAAGAGTAATTTTGAACATTACTTTGTTTAAAACACATATATACAATTTTATAATAGGCATGACAAAATTTTAAAACTAAGTTGAGTAGTTTTTTCTTCGGCGGGAAAAAACCATGAATTTGGGTAAAGCATACACAGAAACCTTCTGCGGGCCCATAAGAGTGCCATACAGTACAATAAAAAATAAGGCAAACACTTGAAGAGGTAAATAGCAACATGATAAATAGACATCTAGCTCACAAATAGGATTCGTTTTCGTCCAATATACTTAGTCAAAGATGCGATATATATATATATATATATATATATATGGCTCTAACATACCTACCATTTTAGTTTTAGGTTTTATCTATATGTACTAATCAATAAGAAAACCCATTGCTCTCTCTAATTTTTGTTTTCTATTCAGGAACACATAAAAGATAATCAATGTTTATTTGCAAGCATGGAATTGAAGGAATCAGCGAGAGAGGCAGATAAAGGAGAACTTGAAACTTATATAATATATGCAAGGTACGTGCCGTATGACAATCATATTTTTATTTACTACTTGCTAGCTGGAATGTGTTTTTTACTACGAAGAAAACCTCGTATAGTATAGCAGTGCGTGTATGGATGGAGTTGTACTATACGAGGTAGTAGTAGTATATGTTGCGAGCCACTGAATATCTGAAAACATCACCTGCCGGTGCACCTGGAGCACCAAACCTGGTCCAAACTAATATGGCCTTCTTCTCGTAATATTTAGATGGATGGAAGGATAGATATATAACCAACAAAGCTAGGGGATGCGAACATCAATCTATAGCTAGTGGATACCAACCAACATAAATATAAGACAAAATGTCAACTGATCATCTGATCAGCACCGGCATTGAAACAGATATTTCCTAGAAAGCAACTAAACATCATTTTATTATAAGTTATTTATCGATGCAGAACTCCTCCTTAGCCACCAATAAATCTCAGCGCTGCTCTAACTTGCTCTGGAATGTTATCCTTTGCTTGGTTATCCCTAACCATCAACAGCTGGACCATTAGTCGCTTCCTGAGACTTTGTGGATCCTACAAATTATGCATAAACAAAGTAAGAAGATATATTTAGCAAATATATGCAATATGTAACCTCATTACAAAATCACTTACGTCAGTCCTAGGCATGTTATGAACCATGTCATTACCGATGGTTTCATACAGATGGGCCATCTCCTGTAGAACTTTGAATCCGGAGTCCATACTGTCACCAAAAAAAACATATTGTATTAGCTATATTAGAGCACACACTAATATGCAAGCCAGATTTAGAATAGTACCGCCAAGGTGAAACATGAATGTTATCTTGTTCGGGCCATTCCACAAGTTGGCTGTTCCTATCAGGGGCCTCTTGTTGCAATACAAAGCTGAGTTCTTGCTTCACTAAAAGGGCTTCCCTCTGAAGTTCAGTGCCATGGGGGTCCTCCTCAAAATGAAACACATCCTGGTTCGAATAATCAATAACGATAGTCCTCTCCATTTCCATGTTCACTGCTAAAAGACCGTAGGACGAATCCACGAGTGACAGTGGTAGAAGATACTGCATTTGGTAGAAAAAGGTAAATGTCAAACAAAGTAACCAACTAATTTGTAAGAAAGAGAACACTTACAATTGTAGGGGTGTGAAACACGCAGTATCTTGGAAAAGGCTCAAGCACGACATTGTTAATCAGTGCATTGGTGCACTGTTCTTGGCTTAACCAAGTCTGCCTTAGCGCCCGTGCTTGCACATGGAATCCCAAATTGAAAAAATGTGTCTTTCCAACAGAGCTGGTGCCTGCGCTCCTCTCTGCTGCGTCGGTAGTAATCTTACGCACAGCTAAATTGAAACATAACGGATGGACAAGTCCATCTCCTAGGATGGTGTCTCGGATGATCCGTAGGCTAATCTCGATAGGGAATGGGCGCGGGCTCCTAATCCAGATTGTGCTGTAAAAAATGAAGATCAAGGTTCATACCAATTATATGACTTCAAGTAATCCTAAACTCAAACGATAAAACTGTGTTGCTATCTATAAGATATGAATAATTAAACAGTAGTATATATCACATTAAATGACCTAAAAGATATTGTAATCTCTACCAAGTTAAGTATTTTTAATATTAAGATTGAACTATTTTCGTAGTAGTACATGGGCCTGCATAAAAATTGTTGTAGATTTTGGATGAAAAATTCAACATGTAGTTTATAGGTTGTTCAACATTGTTGTAAAAGGTGTTAGACCCCATAGTTTTGGACCACAGTTTCATACGTATTTTGTTTCATACTTATCAGCTATTTATGTTAGACGCCGCAAAACACTGGTTTTAGACACAATTTACCAGTACAAATATAATATCTGGTAACAACCATTGAATATGTATTTATATACTTGTATAAGAAAAATAACTACACATTCAGCCTTTGTAACAGAAATCTGAACTTAGACAAAGACCACGTGATCCTGACCAGGGTATATCTTCTAATCTAAACGTAAAGTATATATGTACAGGGCAGGAAGATTTTTTATGGGGGTATAACTTCTAAATGCAAAGTATACATGTACATGGCAGTGGACTTAGACGATGAAGAGCAAAAAATATTAGATCTATCGGGCCGTGAGAACTTACTCTAGTAGTTCTTTGTCTGAGGAAAGTGCTATGAAATCGTACACGTAGTCGACTGCGTGTCGCACTCCCCCAAAATTCGCCATTGCTTCCATTGATGGGGCAAAAAGTCGGTCGTACAACTGGTAAAGCGAGAGAGGAAGGAGCCCGTAGGATTTTATTGAGTAGATATGAGACCGTGGGGAATTGTGCGACAACAGTTAGGAAGGTGCACCCTGTCCTTCCTTATTTGCATGTTTCCATAAAATAATACTATCAACAAAATCGGCAAGATATTTGTTTTGATTACACTATGCATAAAACCAATAACAGATTAAATGTTGCCTAAATTATGTCTCCCTTACCCCATAACTTTCCCAAACGAAAAAAATAAAAGAAACCGGACTTACTCTGTCGTGAGGGAGTGCAACACTCTATCCCCACCCGGAAAGCGTTGATGGTTGCGTGTTTTATGGGGCCCAGTGTTTGTCCCCCTCTAAATAAATCTCCGACCCCATGATTTGAATGGTGGGGCCCTGATTTATTTCCCTATCAAATCTGCACCCCCCTGATTTCAACTGTGGGGACCGGTGCCTTTCCTCTAATAAATATTTTCCCAGCATTTTTTTTGTGGCGGGAATCAAGCTTACCATTAACCAGACAGCTCAGCAGAGTCGCTAGCTACAAGAGCGTCCACAAACTCAGGTGCTTGATCCTGCCACATTACTGGGGCTAACGCATCCATTACTTTATTACAGATCCTGGGGCAAAACGAAAATACCACTTGGGTAAAGTTTAATCTAGCAAAGAATATTATTTATTTGAACAGCACTCCATTGGCAGTGAGGTCAAGGTCACTGGTGTTAACAGCCCGACCTAGTTGAGTGAATCTGTCTGAGCTTGCACTCCTGTCATAACCCATCCGCCTCGGGAAAAATTATCAGGAAAGCGCTATGCGCTAATCATGCATTTGGCCACCATATATTTAGATATCTACGTCACAAGCGTTAGGCTTTATTTCTTTAGTGTGAGGAAATAGCCCAGATGGCCTGCCCTGGCCCACTTAAACACAGGGACATATTGTGGTTCCCCTACTAAAGATCGGTATGTGCATAGTCTACTGATGCCACCTCTCCCCCTCGTCCTCTATCCTTGATGCATCATGGCGCCTCTCTCCCTCATCCTATTTCGATTGCAACACTGATCGGGAACCGGAATGTGAAGCTAGCTTGAGAAGCTAGACCCCTCGCCGGAATAAGTTGCTTTAGATAGCCTCATCATCAATGGAGTTAGGGCTTCGGATCAATCCCTCATCATATCCCACATTATGGAATTCTTCTCTTCTCTTTTGGGGGCTAAGCAGTAGGGTCGTCTCTCTATCTCTCCGTTTCTATGGGACTGTCTGTCACATCCCTAGTCCTGGCCTGACCTATGTTTGCTTCCATGTGTGCATCATGTTTAAATTTTTGAAACTTGAACTGAGGAATTTTGGAAGCCTCAAAAACTTAAATAAAAGAGGGGCAAAGAACCCTGGAAAATGCATTCAATGTTTCCAAAATGGCCTTAAATAATGTTGGTTATATTTTGGCAAGGGTTTTGCACCAAACCAAAAATAATGAACATTTTGAGGAATATTTTGAGCACTGAATTTAAATCATTGTTGTATTTGAATTTGGAATTATATTCATAATATATGGGATATATTTTCAAATAACTCTGAAATGCTTTATGTGCTGTTGGAAAAGTCCATCTAGCAACATAAATTATTCAGAGGATATCTGGCACTGTTTTGGATTTGTTTTAATTTGAAAAAAACAGTGGCAAAGTATAAAACAGAAACAGAAAAACACTAAAAGAACAGAAACTTACCTGGACTTACCTGGCGCTCACCGAAGCCCACCTGGACGGCCCAATACCTCCGGCCCAGCCCATCTCCACCCCTCCCCTGTCGTCTTCCTCCCTGCCAGGAGGACGGGCACGCGCCCGGCGCGCGCGGCCACGCGCCCCGGCCACCTCCTCCCTCCCAGCCTGCTTGGCTCCTCCTCGACGCCCCGGTGACGCCACACGACCCCCTCGACCCTCTCCTACTCTCCCCGTGCCCCTCTCCTCTTTCTCCCCGGAACACTCTCCCCCTCCTCTGTTCTCCTCACCGAACGCGCCCGCCGCCGCCGACGAGAACCACCGTGGCCACCGGCCACCCCACGCCTCACCGACGCCCCAGGAAGCTCCGCCCCGACCCCCTCTTCCTCCCCACCGATCCACGGCCCTTCGGAAGCTCTGCAGCGTCGCCCTCAAGCTCGCCCCCAACCTTCGGCCGCCGGCGAACTTTCGAGGATTCGCGAGCTCCAGCCCCTCCCCGTCCTCGCCGTTGCCTCCACCAGATCCGCTGTGAGCTACTCTTCCATTCCCCCTCCTCCTCGCGCTCGTTCCCGTACTCTAGCCGCCCTTTTCACCGGAGCCAATTGCTCCTCGCCGCCGGCCATGGCGTGGCCGTGGCCACAGCCACCGCAGCTCGCTTCCGAGCCCACCGGCGTGCTCACCGCAACCTTAGGAACCCAAAGCACCTAACCACTCGTCCTCCCGTGCACCGCAGCGCCGGTCCCGCGAACCCCCGAGCTCCGGCCGCCGCCTCGGGCTCCCCTCCGGCGAACCCCGGCCACCCCCGCACCTCCCGTTGGTTCCCCTAGATGCGCACGGGCACGGGCTACCTCCTGGTGCCCTTGGCGCGTCGATCCGTCGTCTCTGGCGCAACTCCGGCGAGCCACCGCCGCTCTGGGTCGTCGCCGTCGTCCAACTGCCGGCGAATCCGACGTGGCCGGTCATTAGGGCCTAACCACCCCCGCTAACCCAGGCCTAGGGCCACTGACCGGTGGGCCCTACCGTTTAATTAACCTGGCTAACAATTTAGTTAAGTTAATTAAACTCTGTTAAATCACTGTGCAGCTGACATGTGGGTCCCGAACGTCAGGTTTGACCCGGACCAGCCCCTGTTGACATGCTGACGTCACACTGACGTCAGGCTGACGCATTAATGAATTACTGGAATTATTAATATTCAGGAAATTTCAGAAAATGCCCTAAACTTCAATAAATCATAGAAATTCAACCGTAACTCCAAATTAAATAATTTATATATGAAAAATTATCAGAAAAATTCAAGGAATCCATCTGTACCATTTTCATGCATGTTAGAACAACTTATAGCTGCTGTTTAGCACAAATCAAATAAATGGCATTTAAACTCTCACATTTGGAGTTTGAATTTGAATCTTGTATTCAAACCAACCCCATTTAACGTGTTGCTAGATGCATTAGCCCAAAACACATTCATATTGCCATGTCATAGCATGCATCATATTGTGCATTGCATTGATCGTGTTTCTTCTATGTTTGCCGGTGTTGTTCTCCCTCGGTAGACGTTGTACCGACGATGTGATCGTTGACACTGATGAAGACTCAATGTTATCTTCAGAAGTGCCAGGCAAGCAAAACCCCCTTGTTCATTCCGATACAATCCTACTCTCTCGCCCTGCTCTCTTTTACTGCATTAAGACAACAATGATTCAACTGTTACTTGCTGCGGTAGCTGAACCCCTTTATCCTTTGCATGACCTGTCATGCCACAGTAAATAGATGAAACCCACTAGCATGAGTAGGAGTTGTTTGAGCCCTGTTGTGCCTACTCATTCATGCTTGTTTGTCATGCCTGCTACTGCTTAGAGTTGAGTCAGGTCTGATTCATCGGGGATGAGTCAGAGGTGTGTGAACATGTCCTACTATGTGTGAGCTAAGTGTGTGAATACGATTTGGTAAAGGTAGCGGTGAGAGGCCATGTAGGAGTACATGGTGGGTTGTCTCATTGCAGCCGTCCTTAGGAACTGAGTTCTGTGTTTGTGATCCATGATTCAGCTACTACCACGCATTGGGCCCGAAACCAATGGACCCTCTCGGCTTCTTGATCACCCTTGTCCTCTGTCCAGGAGTTGCAAGTAGTTTCTGGTGTTTGTAGTATGCTGGAGGCCATGCGCAGCGCTGACCGTAGGGGTGGGCTGTGATGCGGTAGGCACGTGGCCGGGTAAACCGGGCGCCTGTTTGGTGTCATGGAACCCTGTACACATCGTTTGGGGCTGTGAGCGAAACTCCGGCCGGATCTCCTCATGGATGGAACCCGAATAGGCGATAAACCTGGACTAGAGACTCGAGTGTTTAGGTAGGCCGTGGCCGACACCCACGTTGGGCTTCCGCTTGAAGGTTGCCGAGTGCATGTCGTGTAAACGGCGGTAAGTGGTGAGAGCGTGTGTGAAGAAGTACACCCCTACAGGGTTAACATCATCTATTCGAATAGCCGTGTCCGCGGAAAAGGACTTCTGGGTTGCTTATATCAGTTCATAGACAAGTGAAAGTGGATACTCTAAAATACGCAAGATAAGCGTGAGTGCTATGGATGGCGTTCTCGTAGGGAGACGGGAGCGGTTCCATAGTGGTGTGTTGGTTGGTGAATATGTGGACTCGTGTGCGCCACCTCCAAAGAGTTACTTGCAGTCGTAGTTCAGGTTAGCCACCGAGTCAAAGCTGGTTTGCTGCAGTTAAACTCCACCATCCCCTTTGTTGATAATGATGCATATGTAGTTAGTTCTGATGTAAGTCTTGCTGGGTACATTTGTACTCATGTTTGCCTATTTTATGTTTTTGCAGAGAGACTTCGGTCTCACTAGTAGTTCCGCGTGGACTTCGACGTTTAGCTTGTTACCTCAGCTACGATCTTGTGCCCTCGGCAGGATCTGATAGATAGTCAGGCTTCTCGGCCTTTTTCATTTATAGATGTCTGTACTCAGACATGATAGCTTCCGCTTGTGCTTGATTTGTATGCTCTGAATGTCGGGTCATGAGACCCATGTTTGTAATATTCCGCTCCTCGGAGCCTAATGAATAAATATTTGAGTCGTAGAGTCATGTTGTGATGCCATGTTGTATTTGCACATATCGAGCATATTGTGTGTATGTTATTGAAATGCTTGGTATGTGTGGGATCTGGCTATCTAGTTGTTTATCCTTAGTAGCCTCTCTTACCGGGAAATGTCTCCTAGTGCTTCCACTGAGCCATGGT